TTTCCTAAAAATATGACTCCGTACAAAACCGTTTTCAATTCACACTCAAAATGGTTTCATAGCTGAAATTTCATCACGGTTCCAATGCACTTGATCTGCGCTCTCACAATTGCGACCGATAAACCTATTCGTTTCGCTATTCATTTATTCTGTTTCATGCAGCGTCTTATGTGTAGTCTCTGGCAGATTCATACAATCGATATCTATCTTATCTACTTATCTGTTTAATACATATCCATCTCCCAACTTAACTCCAAAAACTTAATCTATCCCTTAACTTAGCCCTTAACCTTAGTCTATCCATTATTTATATCTATTTTCTAATTTACCATTTGAATCAAATCGATAACAACCTAAAACAAAGGACAATGAATAAATAAGTTTGTTATGATTGAATTGTAACCTGCTATTTTAATCATATCGATAAGAGCCTAAAATAAAAGACAAAGAGTGAATAAGTTGGTTATTATTGAATTGTAAGTTACCATTTGGATCATATTGAATTTTATTCGAAATCAAGAACAGTTCAAGAACGTAAAGATGACAGAACGTTATTTGAATCGAATTTAAATGATTTCAGATTGGGAAAGCAAAATAGTTCATAGAAGGGAAAATTCTTGATCAAATCGGTTATACTTAGTATTGTGAGCAGTTTCAGCTCAATGAATAGATCTGAAGCTGAGCACTGGCGAAGATGTAAAAGAAAAATTGGAGTAGTGAAATGTTCTTTCGAGAGGTTTGAGGACTGTAATCTTTTTCATTCTCCAAAAAATTCTGAAAATATGGAAATCTTTAGAAACCTTGTGTTGGATCAGATAAAAATTCAGAGTCGGTTTTAGGCTCGTTATCATACGCTTTCGAGATTAAGTACAAACGAAAACTCGTTGATGCCCCTGAACACCATTTCAGAAGCCGAAAGGGTATGCCCGTATACCTCATAAGACTTGGGCTTAATTTTTTGACGATATAAGTTTACAAATTACCCTCACGATTTCTGAAAATACGATTAGGTTTCCAGTATCAAGAAAAGGGGATTCCAAAATACTTTAAGAGTATCGAAATCGATTTTTTAGGGAAACTAATTGTTTTCGAACCCTCGACTACCAGTAAGATATTTACAGGAGCGTTGGTAGCGTCCAGAAACCATCTCTCAAATCTCTAAAGGTTTCCCAATGGATTTCAGAGTGCTTTTGATGTTCTAGGAAACGGATTGTTCTTAGATAGCAGTTAATGTACACCCTTAATATAAATCTAACCTCCTAACGGATCCCATCAACCTTAATCTGATCCCATAACTAATCTCTTTATGTATATCTATATCCTTAACTTGCCACCTGAGTCCTAATCCAACCCCCAAAATATCACCATATCTTTGTTTAACCCCTTCAATTAAGCGAATGTACTTGAGCTCATCAACAGAGAACGTATGCGATTAGTTTTTATTGCGATTAGAAGTTGCAATATAGAAATCTTTTTTGATAATCTTAAGTACTTCGACCATTTCGATTTGTTTTGACTACTCCATATGGGAAATATTTTACTGAATGCAGAATATGATTAGCAGTGAACCAATTAGTGATTGATTTTCACTCCACTCGATCAGAAACGAAGTTCGGGCAGGCATGTCTAGTTTAATGCTCATGTTTTGAAATAAGGTTTGAAGAGTATTTTACGAAATCTTTTCGATTTTCGATGCCCGAAAAGGTTTATCACGAAACGTTTTTGAATACTAAACCTTGAACAGGTTTTTTGCGAAACTCTACATGATACTAAACACTTCTGAGGTTTCATCTGTGCAAACGAAACCTTTTCAAGTATAGTAAAGTACCACGGAACCCTTTAAGTTCCGTATGGAACCTATTTTTTCAGTGTTGTTGTGATTTATATTCATTAATAGTTGCTTGCCAGATAATTTGGGGTGGGTGTGGGTGCGGCTACCAAGTAGATATCTACCCACATCCACACCCTGTCATACATCAATCTACTGTCTGTCTCAAATTGAAGTGTATCGAGTGACTTCGTCGAACAAAAGTCTTCTGTTTTTCATGAACTAATATAAATAAACATCCATTTTTTAATGTAATCATTTATCGTGTCTTCTTGCATCCATCCAGTGAAAAGTTCGGTTTGATTTGTTATCGGAGAATTTTGAGTAACTCATTTTATTTTACAACAATATTCTCATTTGTTGATCATATTTTAGTTTCTGTTTAAAAAGTCATTTTAAGTTTAAATTGCTACGTTTTGATGTTGAAAAGAGTTACTGCAGAAAAAGTTAGACTGAATGTATATATATCCACATTTACAACAAGCAATGTAAGAAAAGAAGAAGCAACAATGATTGTGTATGCTATTTATTTATTTCTCAGCTAGATTATGAAAAACCTAATACTTAACAAATATTAGTTCCATTGTCCATTTCAGAGTTAAATGGTCATTTGAACGTTTTGAATGACTTTCCATCGGAACAGGATAAAGATCTGCAGTGTTCACCATTCGACAGAAAAGACTGAGGCTGATGAATACAGGCTAAAATCTGATTGACTGACTATGGACCATTTAGCTCCATTTTCAATGGACATTGTGAATACGATATTCTGAAACCATTTGTCAAATTTACTGAATTGCTAATTTACTCATTTGTTAGAAGAAACTGTTCTCTTTCGATCTACGCTAGGCTGATCTCTCTAACTTATTCCATTCAAGAGTTATACGGATTTTCCTAAGACTCTTGATTTCAGCCAATTGGCATTGAATCAACCCGAAAACCATATGGAATGCGATAATTCATCATTCTGATTTCAATGGTGATATTTGCTTTTGTATTTGAAATCATCTTACGCTGTTTTTTTTCAGAAATTTCAGCATTTCACAATATGTACGGCCATGTATTAAATGTGGTCCCATTTTTGAAATACTGAGATAACACTGAAAGATGATTTCAAAATCCAAAAGCAAATATCACCATTGAAATCAAAATGATGAATTATCGCATTCCATATGGTTTTCGGGTAGATTCAATGCCAATTGACTGAAATCAAGAGTCTTAGGAAAATCCTTATAACTCTTGAATGGAATAAGTTAGAGAGATCAGCCTAGCGTAGATCGAAAGAGAACAGTTTCTTCTAATAAATGAGTAAATTAGCAATTCAGTAAATTTGACAAATGGTTTCAGAATATCGTATTCAAAATGTCCATTGAAAATGGGGCTAAATGGTCCATAGTCAGTCAATCAGATTTTAGCCTGTATTCATCAGCCTCAGTATTTTCTGTCGAATGATGAACACTGCAGATCTTTATCCTGTTCCTATGGAAAGTCATTAAAAAAATGCCCACGGCCATCTAACTCTAAAATGGACAATGAATAAAAAATTATTATTGCAATGCAAATTAATGGTGTGTAGAAGACTTAAAAGATAGTATATATATAAGAAGATTATTGATTGAAATAGTTTTTGTAATTGCTAATAATATTTCTCACAGAATTATTCATTCAGCATGTAAACTTCTTGGTAACGTACTGATAAATTTCTTTATACGTTGAACAGTGGGATGACTACTTCGTTTGTCTCTTTTTACATATTGTAATGCTTTTTTGTAGTATTTTCGAGCTGATTGCAGATTGTTTTGACAGATATAAACTTCACCAATGTTCTCAAAAACTCGCCAAATATCTTCCGTATTGTCGCCATTGGAAATCAATTGTTTAAATATTTCCAAAGCTTTCATGCGATGTTCATTACATTTCCCGCATTGTTCTGGTTGCTATTTTGAATAGGCTAATGCTAATGTACTATGTGATTCTGCTCTTGATACGTGTATCAATGGTAAAAACTGATCCCTAATTTCCAATGATTTTATTGCATGTTCAATGACATCATTGTACTGATCTAGTTTTACCAAACATAAGGCCATGTAATCTAATACATATGCAGGATTTTCTTCCATTAAATTTGGAAAATGCTTTTCATAGTTTCTCAAGCTGTTTTCATCAATGGCGATGCTTGTTCATATTCAGTTTTGTCATAATAACAAAGCCCTAAAATATGATAACAGAGCGCTGCAGTTATCGTATATTCATTCAGCTGAATATTTAACGACTTTTGTAAGATATTTATAGCTTCATTAAACTGCCCTTGTTTCCACAAGATATGACCATAAATCCGGTAACAATCTGCTTGAGTGCCTTTCTTTTCCGGATAATGCTGTTGATAAATTTCTAGTGCCTTTAATATACAATTGATTCCATTGACATATTCACTTTTCTTCATACTGACATAGCACTCACTCATACAAACATAGCTTACTGCATAATTTTCTTGAGTACCTGGTAAATGTTTTTCAAAAGTTTTTACAGCTTTTTGATAATTTTCAATTCCTTTTTCATATTCTTTTTGCAATGCATAACAAACTCCAATAACGAGATAACAGAGACCAAGGCAAATGTGATCATAGGGTAACATGTTCTTGGCTTTCTCCAAATTATCAAGAGCAAGTTCATATTCTTTTTTACTATTATATGTATTACTCAGATTAATAAGACATGATGAAATATCGTTCGTATGGTCACACCCATAACTTCCTTTCATATGTTTTTCGTAAAAATCCAAACTTTTTTTGTAATATTCTACACTTGAATTATACTTACATTTTTTAGTATAGTTCAATCTGATTGAAGCATAACAATTACCTGTGCAACAGTATTTCAAGAAAGATGAATCCCTTTCCGCCATCTCTACTACTTTTTCATAATATTCTATTGATGCATCATAATTCTCTTGATTCATAAATATTTGACCAATTTTAGAATGGGATCGCGCATAACGTTCCGTTACATTGAATCCATATGTTTCTTTATCAAACAAATGTTTTTCATATATCACAATTGCCTCTTTGTAATGCTTTATTGCTTCATCAAACATGAGTTTCTTTTCGTAAGCCACAGCAATAACAAGGTGACAAAATACAATTGTGACATGATCTTCTGAGAAAATTTCTAGTCAAATTCTTAATGATTTGTTGATAAATTCAAGTGCTTTGTCAGAATTCGTAGCCGTAAGTTTGGATCCAAAATCGTAATAACATTGTGCTTCTCTTTCTTTCTCTGTTACAAAACATGACTTTTCTTCGATTTTTCTTAGTTTCATTTGAAAATAGAATGCATTGTCATAATTATTTTGCTTCAAATAGATGTCAGTAATATCATCAAGACATCGCCCATAAGGTTTTCTTAGATCGAATTGATATATTTCTTCATCGAATAAATGTGTTTCATATATCTCAATTGCCTTCTTAAAGTGTTTTGTTGCTTCATCAAACATTGACTTCTTGGCGTAAGCAGAACCAATATTTTCATGACAATCACCAATTGCAACATGATCTTCTGGGAAAATTTGTAGTCGAATCTCTAAACATCTATTCATAAATTCAACTGTTTTATCAAAATTGGTCTCAAACAGTTTGTTACTAAGATTAAAATAACATTGTGCTTCTCTTTGTTTCTCTGTGAAATGATATGACCCTTCATCAATTTCTGATAGTTGCATTTGAAAATAGACTGCATTGTCGAAATCATTTTTCTTTAAGTTGATGTTGGCTAAAGCTTTAAAAAGTGGCAAAATCAGTTTGGAATTATTCAATGCATTTGTTTGATAGATTTCTGAAACTTTTTTGTAATGTTGAATTGACCAATTATAATCTTGAGTGATTTTATACTCATCTCCAACTTGACAATGTACTTGAATAATTTCTTCATCATTTTCTGGATCTGTTTTCAAGATGAATTTCAATCTTTTTAGTGAATGTTCTAGTCTTTTAGCTGCGTGGATTTCTTTCGGAATAAGATGAAAATCTAGAGATTTTTGTATTTCATCTCTTGCATCAAGTAGGTCTTTGCAATGGTGAAATAAGCGAGTAACATCAGAGTTAAATAAATCTAACCATTCATATTTAAGCACTGACGAAAAACTATTATGGGTTTTTGCGTAGATGTTGCGACACATCTCCAAGCAGTTAAACAAATCTGAACGATCTTTGGTTGATGAAGCATACTCTCTTCTTATGGTTACACTTTTCATAATATATTGATATGCATTATTATCATCATCTTCTTGATGATATCCATCAGCTATATATTCACAGAGTTGTGCAATACTTTGATCATGTTCAGTATGATTACACATTTGAAATGAATTCTCATATATTCTCAAAGCTTTCAAGAAATAATCACGTGCAATTTGTTTGCTGTCTTCTAAACGTCCATATAACTTGATTAGATTAGCAAATAGACAATGAGAATTTTCTGATGTATAGATTGGTAGTTCTTTCCACATATCGTGTGATTTAGTACAATAAAATCGTGCATTTTCTTTGTCATTGTTTTCAAGATACATATCGCCAATAAAGTTCGTTATTTTAGCAGCATGTTGAAATTGACTCGACTTACTATAATAACCGTAAGCCTTTGTATAATTAACAATGGCTTTGTCATAATCATATTCGTTTGCATACGCTTGTCCAATAAACTCATAGATTTCAGCTAATTTTTCGTATTCTTCGTTACCATAGAAATCGAATAGTTTTTCAAAAGACTTTCGACAAACACTATACTGTTCCATTTTATACAATAGTTTTCCAAGTAATATGTTCATATATTTTTCTAATCTGTATTTTTCGAGTAAAACTTGTGTATATTTGCTCAATTGTATCTCTGATACAGCTGTTAATTTAACAAACCATATCTTTTGATCAATATCATAATGAGTAGAATTTATAGTAAATGATGGACCTAAATCGAAGAGAATTTTTTGTTCTTCGGGATAATCACTAAATTGAGCAATATCAATGAATGGTACTGTTAGTTTTGTCATGTCACAACTAATCTCAAGTATAACTGTCTCAACCTCGGAACGTTTTGTACCTTTCCTAGCAAATGTATAAGCAACATCTCTTGATCGACTAGTTGATAAAAATCCATTAGTCGCAATAGTCTGACCAATATATTTAAGATTATTAATTTCTGCAGAAGATAATTTTAGTCCTCGATATGATAAAATAATATTGGAGTTTCCATTTTGTTCTTTAAACTCTTCATATCTTTGTTTAAGATTTTCACATAAATCAACAATAAAAAATCTGTGTTAACATAGCTTCATAATATTCTATTCTTAATGCTTTATTAACTAAGCGATAAACAAATGCTTGTTTTGTGTACCAATAAATAGCATCTTCTGATTTATATGTTTGTTCAAATTGATCAATATTTAATAATTCTTTCTTATTTTTTCGATAATAATTTCGACATATTTCGATCATTTCATTTTTTGCTATATCATTATGATATTTTGTTTTTAAGAGAACTTGTTTGAATGCACGAAAATAGCTAAATGAATACATTTCTTCATATAAACTTCGCATAGAACGTTCGTCTTGGTTAAATCAACTGACTGCTTCAGATTGTTTTATTGAATAGCGAATCTTTTCTTGCAAAGCAGTTAATAATAAATCATATTCTGTATAAATTCCAATGATTTTTTAATAAGTGTTATTATTTAAATATGTTTGATAAAGTTCAGGTTTCATACAAAAAAAAGAAATTGAATCAATTTGTTGATGATTATGTATTTCATCAAGGATATCTTGTGCACTAACACCGGATAAAATAAGAAACACTGTTTCTGTTTTAATTTGTTCAATATATTCAATATATATTTCTCGATTTGAACAAATTAAAACGTAATCATTGACTTTTTGAAGTAATTCAATAGTTTTTTTGTATCATCACGTACACCTATATTCTTATCATACCATATCCATGTTATTCCTTCTATATTTTCATTTTCATTCGATGCAAAAATCGATTGAAGTGAGAGTGTAGTAGGAGGTACACGTTGAGTTGCCGCTTCTTCTTCATTCACTGATGATTCTAGCATAACTATGTGTAAAAAGAAAATCATTGATTAATTCTAACACCAGACTGTTGTTTATGTTTGCTGCACAATATTCTCTGTTTTTCTTAATGGAAGAACGAGTAAATTACACGGAGTGTTTGTTTTTATCACATTCTAGCATTCGAAAAGGGATAAATGGGAAAGAGTCCGATAGATTCACTCTAATCTAATGTAAAATACTGTATGCTACAAAACCGAGACACGAGAGATTGCGTACATTAGATGAAGGGAGCTTTGACACTGGATAAAATCGTGTTGTTCAAGGAATTTACATGCGACGTCACAAATGAAAAAATATATCCATATGCTGATCTACATTGATTTTATCTTTGGTCAGAAATAGAAATATTGATGAAATATGAAGAAGCAGAAAAAATACATCCTTTTAGCCCATTCTCCCAGAATGACCATTGGTTTATTGAATTTCTCAGAAAATGAACGATTGTTTTTCGTCTTAATTTTCATTTGTATATGGATCTCATATTCACTAATAGATATTCCCTTCTAAAAATCATGAACTGTTTAAGGTAATTCAGTTCTCTAAATTCTTAGTAAAACATACAGTTTTTAAAAGTTCAATTATTTACAGAGGTCACATCCGAGCTAATGGACTCTGTAAAGGCTTTGGCGATCGTTTGTGTTGATTTTTTTCAAGGGCGACATTTTATTGTAGACTAAATGAGTTTGATAACAGCTTGTTTCAATTCAGATAGTTTTGTAAAAATGTTGTGGTAGATCTAACCACGTGCCATCACTTGAAAAGTTTCTTGGGCAATGCTATAGTACACTGCATATTACAAAAGAAGAGAAAACCAACCTTCGCTAGTTTCAATAACAGTAATATTCTGGAACATAACGTGCTGCAAACTTGTAAGAAACTTCAATACAAAACTCAAGAACTGATAAGTATAAAGGCTTAAGGGAGGCCCCTCCTAAGTTCAAGAAAACGGCCCGTTAAACGACCGTAAGCGGCGTAAAAATGATATAAAACGTTGAAAAACGGCGAAAATAGTGTGAAAAATGATGGCCATTTTATAGCTGTTTCAGGCCGTTTACGCTGCCGTTTCGACGACCGAAATGATCGTCCTGAGCTCCCTTAGAAAACCCTTTTTGTAGAAAACAGTCGAAATCAAATTTTTACCATAGAAAGATGCCCCCAAGTCTCCCCTTTTAGAAGATATACATCGGCAAAAATTCGTAACGCGTCAACTCTAGTGCCAGAAAATTGAAAAATCGAGTTGTAATATCAATACTTCCGTCAAATAGGACCTAGCTCAAAGTATGCGAAATCTCTTCTTTGTTCTAAGAAAAGGTGGTTCTGCTCATATTTGTCAATCATCAATAAGATTTCGATAGGAAAAAAGAGAGCGCATTTTACTGATTTTCGTCATCGCGTTACAAAATCATCATCGCGTTATGTTAATTAAACCGAAATAACAAGCC